TTCCTGGCCAGGAAAGCCACTGTGAAGCAGATGGCAGCCAGGAAGCCCATGTAGCTGGACAATGTAGGAGAGGTCCTGGCTGTTAGCTTTGATAAGGGGAGTTTCTCTGTATTTAATGAATATGATTAAAACAAACCCTGTGGTTAGGAACAAGAATAGTGCAAAAGAGACCAGAATGATGCCCAGATGTTCTTCATAAGACAGGAAGGTTATAACTTTGGGGATGCATTGGATTCTGTCCAAATTTGGATATTTATCATCCAGACACTTGGTACATTTTCCTGCATCTGAGGGGAAAAATATTTCTTTAACATTGTGATTAGAATTAGAATTATGGACTGATTATAATAGAATAGAGCTGGAAGGGTCCTTGGAGGTCTTCTAGTCCAGCCCTCTGCTCAAGCAGAAGAACCTATATCATCTCAGACAAATGGCTGTCTAGTATCTTCTTAAAAACTTCCAGTGATGCATCCATGGTTTCTGAAGGGAAGCTCTTCCACTGGTTTATTGTCCTCACTGTTAGGAAATTTCTCCTTCTCCCTTTCTGTCCCTTGACTGTTGTCCAAAAATACCTTATTTGGACAATAACTGATAACTGGAACATTTTTCAAGATGGATTCCTTAATCATTCCATGGGAAAAAGTGAAAATACAATCTTCCAAAAATTATATGGTTAATGTATATGGAATTGGTGGAAATCCTAGGACCTAAAGCACTTATTGTGTAATAGGGAGCTTTCATAGAAATCTACATTACTAGAGGAAAATAATGAATCTGATAATCTTCCTAGGAGGAAGTCCTAGATCCTTCCAGATGGCATTTCTTAATATGCTGGTCCCAGAAGATTCCTGAGCCCCATCATCCACTCCCCTCCCAGCCTAGGATCAGTTGAATTCCTCCATTTAGACAATAGGAAAAAGGGAGTTTGGACAGAGTCTCTGGATCAGTCTCCTTGTTTGACAGAAAGGTTACTCTGACACATAGACACTCAAAGCCAAATTCCCCCTCAGTTCCTGGACACCTCCGGCCATTGCTCAGCTGAGCTCACACAGGGCCAGAGTGGCTGCGAATTGGGATGGAAGGGACCACAAACTCTCTTCAAGCCTTCCCAGCCAAAACTGACTCTTAGACAGAAACTGTGGCCTCACAGAAGCTCCTAAATGGGGCCATTATGGGGCAGAGGGAAGGGTTATGGGATCAATCTCACAACATTCATTCTATAGGGGCTCCCCCATCTGCTGTCCCTGGTGGGAGATCTAAGACTGTGAATCCCACTCCTAACACCAGTTTCTGTGAAATCAAACACAGGACCCAAAAAACCCAAAAATCAAAGTTCACTGCAGTTGTTATTTATTCAGTGTCGACTGGAAGAATTCCCCTCCAGAAAATAGTGGGAGGAAATCTCAAAGTCAAAAAGATGCACTCATATTTATACATTTCTGGAATGGAGAACAAAATGATACTCATCAATATGCATACTTAATAGAAGATATAACCATGAATATTCATATTGTTACTATCCTCGAGAAAGAGGTATCGTCTAAATAAAAAGAAACAATCTTCCAAAAATCCTTTATTTATTTATTTGAAAAAAATAAATATTTATTTGAATAAAAGTGATTGCCCCATTCATGTATGGAGAATAGTTTGGAGCTCACAAATTCCTCCACGTCACATTTCTACATTTCTTCTGGCTGTCAGCTGCTCCTTTGTGTTCAGCTCTGGCCTCACAAGGATCATGTAACACTTGGGGATGAAGATGCAGCCCAGCAGATCAGCACTGGAGGCCAGGATGGAGAAGACCTGAACAGCCACCATGTATGAGTCCCTTTATTATCACCAACTGGGCCCCCAACGTCCCTCTCAACTCTCCGGCCTGGAGCATAACTCTCCGACGAACCTGTAACCTCCTTTGGCTGACAAGACTCCAGTCCAAACATTGTAAGCAGAAAACGTCCAACTATAAATCCAACAAGGCAAGATAAGGTGATTAATCTGGCAGGGCAAGCAAGATAAGGAGTTCCACAAATGAAGTAGCAGTAGCACGGCAGAAAATCAAAGCAGTTGGGAGGATGCCAGGAACTCAGATAAGAAGTTAACACCAGATGAGCTCCGTGTT